ACTACCGTCTTTAACATACTGGAAATCCAATACGTTGGTCAGTACAGATTGTAACTTTTCTTTATTTTTCCGTTTTTATTTTTATATTTTTTGAGAGAGAGAGTGTGCACACAAGCACGGGGAGGGGCAGAGAGAGAGAGAATCTTTTTTTTTTTAATATGAAATTTATTGTCAAATTGGTTTCCATACAACACCCAGTGCTCATCCCAACAGGTGCCCTCAATACCCATCACCCACCCTCCTCTCCATCCCACCCCCGTCAACCCTCAGTTTGTTCTCACTTTTTAAGAGTCTCTTATGTTTTGGCTCCCTCCCTCTCTAACCTCTTTTTTTTTCTTCTCCTCCCCCATGGTCTTCTGTTAAATTTCTCAGATCCACATAAGAGTAAAAACATATCGTACCTGTCTTTCTCTGTATGACTTATTTCACTTAGCATAATACTCTCCAGTTCCATCCACGTTGCTACAAAAGGCCATGTTTCATTCTTTCTCATTGCCACGTAGTATTCCATTGTGTATATAAGCCACAATTTCTTTATCCATTCATCAGTTGATGGCCATTTAGGCTCTTTCCATAATTTGGCTATTGTTGAAAGAGAGAGAGAATCTTAAGCAGGCTCCACGTGGGGCGCCTGAGTGGCTCAGTCGGTTAAGCGTCCGACTTCGGCTCAGGTCATGACCTCACGGTTCATGGGTTTGAGCCCGTGTTGGGCTCTGTGCTGACAGCTCAGAGTCTGGAGCCTACTCTGGATTCTGTGTCTCCCTCTCTCTCTGCTCCTCCCCAACTCACGTTCTGTCTCTCTCTCTAAAAAACAAATAAATATTAAAAAAAAATTTAAGCAGGTTCCATGCTCAACAGAGATCTCGATGCGGGGCTCAATCCCACAGCTGTGAGATCATGACCTGAGCCGAAATCAAGAGTCGTACACTGAACTGACTGAACCACCCAGACACCCCATAACTTTTCTTTAAATCAGGTGGCTTGTTTAATCTTATTTTTTGTTAGAATGCATCTACTCTGGTAAAGTATAACTTTGGGTCTATAATATTCTGCCCATGGCTGCTCAACTTCCTACAGAGTTTCGTGGATGTAGGTGTTATACCTAGCCCCTGGAACAGAAGAATGAGAAAACTCAAAATTGTTCCTAATGTTTCAACATATGTCACCCAGAAATTACCAGGTGAGCCAATAAATATATACAGTGAGGTAAAGCATTGGGTTTTGTAGAAAAACATTTGAGTTCAAGCCTTGCCTATTCCATTTACTAAATGTGTAACCATGCTAAGGATAAATATTTTACAGAAATATTGGAAATACCAAATGAGGTGGTTCCTGGGAAAAATGCTTTGCAAAATGGCAAACTTAGGTCTAAAATCTGTCATTCTCAAGAATCATACCAGATTAATCAACAAATTCTGCAAATATTTACTGGACACCTACGCTGCACCAGATCCTGTGCTCTGTGCTGGGCACACAGTAATGATTTCGGCATCTTAAATTCTAGCAACTGACAGTCTATTCGGGAGACAGTCCTGCGAACAAGAAGGCCATCATGTATTGTCAGTGCTGTGATGGCAGAACGCATAGTATATGGCATGTCCGGCCGGGCAGACTTGTGTCATGGCAAGGCAGAAGAATGTGATAAAAGCATGCTCATTTAAATACTGGACTACCTATGTGACCTCAGGTCTCTGTGCCTCAGTTTCCTTACCTGGGGAAAGAGGGGATAGTCATGATAATTTATAGGGTTGTTGTGAGAGCTAGCTGAGGGCATCACATACAAAACACCCAGGACAGGACCTGGTATAGAGTAAGGACTATGTAAATGTTAGCTGTGTTTTGTTCTTATTCTGTCAGCAGTGTCAGGTAGAGAGCTTCGTAGAGGCTCTGACCCATGAACTTCGTCTTGAGTGATGAGCAGTTTTTTTTTTTTTTAACCAGGTGGACATTGGGAATAATGGGGATGCTGCTAACAGAGAATGATGAACTTAGGAGACTCATGAGAAGGTGTATAGAAGGAGGCATATATCCTGCAAGGAGATCTCACAAAAAGGAAAACCACAAGAGAAGTTGTAGAGATGGCTGGAGCTGCACCACGGAGGCCCTGGTTCATCATTTTTTAGTGTTTAGACTTTGCCAGGTGGGTGATGGGGAGGAGATATGGAGGCTGAAAAAGAGGAAAATGTCTAGGAAGAACCTTCAGGTTTGTGACCTTTGACACTGGGGTTCTGGTACAGATGACCAAGAGATACAAGAGGTGTGTCTTAGCCTGAGTTCACTAGAAAACAGAGACTGAAGTACAGCTGTTGTACTAAGGGTTTCTTGAAGGCTACAATTACAGAGCAGCTAGAATGAGCAGAGGAAGGAAATGAGGCGAGGAAGGAGAGAAAGCAAATATGAAGTAGCACATTACAGAGATTTCTACAGCTTCTGGAGGAAACAGAGCTGGTGGCTTGTTCACATTGGATGTGTCTGGGTAAGCACTATGAAACTACCTTGGTTCAGCTGATCAACACCCTTGAACTTCTAGGTTGTGTCAGTTACCCCTTCAAGTAATCACCAGAAAGTCGGAACTCGTAGCCCATGTCATGGCACTACATTTGAGGCTAGAAGCAGGAAAGCCAGAGTTTCCATGAGATGGGGTCAGACCTTTGAGGAAGCTGTGGCCATTTGTTTTTCTTTTTTAATTTTCAAATTTTAGTGTAGTTGCTACACAATATTACACTCGTTTCGGGTGTACAACATGGTGATTCCCCATGTTTACACGCTATGCTGTGCTCAGCTCAAGTGTAGCTACCATCTGTCACCGTATAATGCTGCTACAATATCATTGGTTATATTTCTTATGCTGTTCCTTTTATTTCTGTGTCTTATTCATCCCATAACTGGAAGACTGTATCTCCCACTCTCCTTTCCCTCTGGAAGCCATCAATTTGTTCTCCGTATTTATAGGTCTGATTCTGTGTTTTGTTTGTTTATTCATTTGTTTGTTTTATTTTATTTTATGTATTTTAATTTTTTTCATGTTTATTTATTTTAGAAAGAGAGAGAGGGACAGAGTGTGAGCAGGGGAGTTGCAGAGAGAGAGGGAGACACAGAATCTGAAGCAGGCTCCAGGCTCTGAGCTGTCAGCACAGAGCCCCACGTGGGGCTCGAACTCATGAACCATGAGATCATGACCTAGCCGAAGTCAGACGGTTAACTGACTTAGCCAACCAGGCGCCCCTATTTGTTTTATTTTAGATTCCACGTATGAGTGAAATCGTAAGGCATTTGTCTTTCTATCTGACCTACTGCAGTCAGTGTAATACCCTCTAGGTCCATCTATGTTGTTGCATATGGCAAGATTTCATTCTTTTTTTTTTTTTATGGCTGCGTAATTGACATTTTCATTGAAACAGCTATAAAGGAGGATCTAGTGGAGCTTGGATCTCAGCCCAGGGGATTTCATGAGAGCTGGTGCTATTAGCAGACAGGGTGACAGTGGTGACAGCCAGGGATCTCCTTTGAGCAAGTGGCCAAGGACCTGGCAGGCCAAGGACTCCTCTTGTGTAAACTGAAAAGAGGCATAAATACAAGATGCTACAATCTACCCCTTGATAATATAATCTGGAGCCTCCACTTTGGTGAGAACAACCCGTTCTCATTTCTTTTCTGGATGAGGAAACAGTCTTTCACATTGGTGGCCAGGTATATTCTCCTCAAAAGGAGGGTTATTCTCCTAATGAAGGTTAGTACATCAAGACACAGCTCCTGCTACTGTATTTGGTCCAAGAACCATAATTTATACTAATCGTCTCCTTGTTCAACCAATGTGTTTATACTCTCCTCACAATTAACTAGTATACTGGCTAATTTAGTTTTCTTGCTTGGTGGGGTGACCCAGACCTTCATCCCGGAGGGGTTTGAGTACTTAGTTGCCTTTCCCTTCTTTCGGTCCTGGTTGCTACAATTGGATATTTACAGTTATCACTGGGGACAGATGTATTAAGAGATGTTGAGTTTCAAACAGAATCCTCGCTATTTCTGTGCACCCTAACTCCTAGTAGAAATTGGGGTGATTACCTCAGCAAGTATAAAAATGTCTTTCTTTGCTTGTTGTCCCACTGGTATTAGAATCTCAAAACTGCAAGATGGGAATTGCCGTTTCTGGTTCATTGGAACATTTACTGTGTCATCAGGTAGAAGTAGCTTCCAATCTTGGAGCCAGTATATCAAGCCCAGCATAGCTTAGGTTTGTGGGAATGGGGAAGCAAAAGTTCCACAAGCGGGTCACTGGAGGGATAGTCGGTGGAGCCACTCCTACTACTGCCTTTCAGTTCCTGGACCTAAGCTTTTAAGCTATTCAAGAAAATAATACATTGCCTATGGTTTCAGTGATTATACTACATCTCAAGATGTTGTGAGTGAGCTGGTGCCTTAGCTTGTCCTTCAACAGGTCTATCTACCATTGTCTTAGGCTTGCTGATTCTGAGTGACGAGGTAGGTGCAACTCCAGGGATTCTCATGTTCATGACCCATTGTTGCACCTCCTTTGCTATGAAGTGGTCCCTTTGGTATTGGGTATTATTGTGCAGAGTTCAATGTCAGTGGATCCGGATTTTTCTCAGCCTTTGCATGGTGGGGATGATGGAGGTTCTACAGATAGAGGCAAACACATATCTGCTGTATGTATCTATTCAGATAGAGATGAATTGCTGCTTTTCCCCAAACTGGAAGGGGTTTGATGTAATTGATCTTCTGTCAACTGTCTGGCTGACCTACCTGAGTAATGGTGCCATACTGGGAACTAATATTGGCAATTTCTACTACAGGTGGTTTGGGATATTCAGCAGTTGCAGTGGTTGGACTCATGCATAGCTGGTATTCCTTTTTCCGTGAGCACATTGTACAAGTATCGGGGTAGCTGAGGAGGGACATGGGCTGAGATCCACTGAATGAGTCTCTTGTCCACATGGTTGTTAAGAGAGTTCTCTGCAATGTATACTATTTGGTGGGTATTAACTTGAGACAAATATCTGTATGTTTGTGTCCATTTTCACAGATCCATCCATATACCTTTTCCTTATACTCAATCTTCCGGTTTTGGCCACTTGAATGGAGTTGTAATGTGGCAGCAGCAGTCCATTTCTGGCTAGTGCCAGCATACTATGCTGACCCATCTGTAAATCAAGTCCTTGTGATTTCCTCTTCTGTCAGTTGGTTATAGAGATTTCATGAGGCCATTGGTGTGAATCGAAGAATAGGAGTTAATGCAATAGAGTTAGGTGACATGGGCATCTTGACCACCTATTCATGTAGTTCATTAGTACCTTCTGGACCTGCTTGAACATAGTCCCAAATGTATTGCTTCAGCATTCAGGGGGATAAGTGGATAGCTGTTAGAACTACCAAATTTATGACATGGTGGACTTGTTAACACCATGATGTTTTTATGGGCATCTCTGTTTGCAAAGTCTTTTGGTATCTTGTGGTCAGGTACCCAGTGATGACTGGGTGTAGTAACACAACAGATGTTTTGCAAACAGAGAGTATTTCCCTGCCACAGAGGGCTTGTTATTTCTCTACAGTTCTAGGTGTCTATTTTATGACGCTCCTATTGGGGACAAATAAATACTGTTCCTCTCTTGGTGGTAAGAGTTACAAGGTGTGACAACTTGTTCTTTATTTTAGAAAAAGGCTAGTGTCTTCCAAGACATGCCCTGCTTCTGCTAAAACTTCACCAATATGGCAGGCCCTGAAGCTCTATGTGGTTTATTTACCACCTTTTGGCATACAAGTGAACCCGTAAACATTTCAACAATATCATAGGTTCGCAAAACTTATAGAACTTATTTCCCATCTCTTAGTATATAAATGTCTTACCCAGCCATCGAGGGTAGCTGTCATTTCCAGCTCAACAGGTACAATTAAAATGAAGTGGACCAGAATGATAATCTGAAGAGTGTCAAGATATTCAAGGTCCCAGTGGACGATATTATGTCAAAGAGCAAGAGAGTTAACATAGCACTCAGGCAAGAGGATGTATGTACTTGGCTATTTTTGACATGCAAAAGTAAATTGCTTTCAATCCTCCCTGCTGATGTGTGGCACGAAGAAAGTATTCTGCCAAATCAATATCTTTGTACTAAGTGCCGAGATGATGTTGATCTGCTTTTATAAAGATAGCACATCCAGCAACTGCAATCAGGGCTCCTGTTTTGTTAAGTCCACTGTCACCAGGCATGAGCCACTTGATTTTGCAAAGGTCAAGCTGGAGAACTGAGAGAAATGTAATAGGATCTGTCTAGTCCATCTTTTAAATCTTTGATAGTGATACTAGTTTCTGCAGTACCTTTGGCAATGTAATGTTTCTTCATCTTTTTTAATTTATTTATTATTTGAGGAGGGGAGGGCTAGAGAGGAAGAGGGAGAGGTAGAGAGAGAATCCCAAGCAGGCTCCATGTTGTCAGCACAGAGCCCTACACAGGGCTCAAACTCAAATCTATGAGATCATGACCTGAGCCGAAACCAAGAGTGGGATGCTTAACCGACTGAGCCACCCAGGTGCCCCTGTAATGTTTCTTCTTATTTAGATTTCTGGAAGGGGAAGTTTTAGGGACTTTCACGTGGCCTTTCCTATTAAAATGGTCCCTTATCCATAAGCCAGAGAAGCAACGGGAGAGATCTTGCAGAATCTAAGAATGTACATTCCAATTATACATTCAGAGACTAGAGAAGGAGGAACAGTGTGGGTGTGTGGACCCACTGACCTGCTATGAGATGGGCATTACTTTCTGGACCAGGGTTTGCATTAGATTGAATCACATGAAATTATCCTGGTTTGAAGACTTTGAAGGACTATTAAGTCCTACAAATTTATACCTAAATATTCATGGCCTCAAACCATCAAACCAAAGCCCAGAGAAAGTATGTAAATTAAATATAGTACTTGAAGAGTATATACATTTCTATGCACTTGTCCACATAGGATATCCTCTTTGAAAGTCATTAGGAGACCCATGCTTGCATTTTGCATCCATCAGTATCCATAAGCGAGCACTGGTCTTTATCAGGAGGGACTACATGACCTACAGGATGGCCTTGAGTTGGACTGAGGCTCTTTCTGTGGTTTCTATCTACAAGCACTGCTAACCAGTGGAAACCATTAAGTAAGAGACTCAAGCTGGTTCTTCTGTCACATCCACTGCACCTGGCCCTGTTGCAAATTCTAAGGCCAGTCCTAGGTTCATTCTAAGTTAGGTTACAAAACCTGTCACATTTCACTTCCAACTCCTCATACCTTTATGTATAGCCCCCAACTTCCTATAACCACCTTTTGTAGAGCTCACTCATTTCTCACACATTTATATTCCATCTGAATAATCAGAGAAAATAAACTGGAATATTTATTGTGGAGTATCTGTTCCCTGCCACCTTCAAGACCCATATCAGGGCTGAACCTGATATGAACAGTGCTATTGATTCCCATGAGCATACTTCTAAGATATGATTGTGCCGTATGGCAATTTTCCATGTCAGTATGAATCTCAATCTATACCAAGTCAGAAATATAACTATTTTTTAATGTTTATTTATTTTTGAGAGAGAGACAGAGAGAGAGAGACAGAGACAGAGCATGAGCAGAGGAGGGGCAGAGAGAGAAGGAGACAGAGGATCCAAAGCAGGCTGCAGGCTCTGAGCTGTCAGCACAGAGCCCAATGTGGGCCTTGGACCCATGAACCATGAGATCGTGACCTGAGCTGAAGTTAGACACTCAACTGACTGAGCTACCAAGGCACCCCATAACTATTTTTTTGAATTTAATTCTATTTGAGAGAGAGAGAGAGAAAGAGAGTGAAAGTGAGCAGGGAAGAGAAGCAGAGGAAGAGAGAGAGAATCTTAAGCAGGCTCCAAGCCTGATGTGAGGCTTCATCCCTGGGATCACAACCTGAGCTGAGATCAAAGGTCGGATGCTCAACCGACTGAGCCACGCAGGCTCCCTGAAATATAACTTTTTAAAATAAATAATTCAACTTATTTCTACTTTGGCAGAGGGGCAGAAATATAATTTTAGTCACTTTGTTCCCCCCCCTTTTTTTTGCAAGATTGCTTCTATGTTTGGAGGAGGGGTTTGAATGCACTGGGTAGGAAACTAGTCTCAGTAATTTTCTGGTCCTTGGATATTTGTCAGTCAGATTTTTGCCAAGTAAACCTCATCACTGCCAGACCTCTCCATATCTGGCAACGCTTCATACTACTTTCTCTCCCCTGTATATGCACTTAATTGTGATAGTAAGAATACAATAATTATACTGAGGTAAATAGCTCACGAGAAATAGTGATACTATTTGTAAATATATTCTTCTGTATTATCTTGAAAAAAAATGAATTTGAAGTTAAGTGTCTTAAGCTAGAAGAATATGATCCTCAACAATAAGCTGATGCAAATGAAATCTTGAAAATGTCAATGTATTTTTAAAATTCTAAATTGTGGCAAAAACACATAACCTACAATTCACTATCTTAGCCATTTTAAAGTGTACAGCTCAGTATGTTTAAGTATGTTCCCATTGTTGTGCAACAGATTTCCAGAACTCTCTTCATCTTGTCAAACTGAAACTCCATACCCATTAAATAACAACTCTCTGTTTCCCCCACCCCCTAGGCACTAGTAATCATTCTTCTACTTTCTGTGTCTATGGATTTGACTACTCTTGATACCTCGTATAAGTGGAATCAAACAATATTTGTCTTTTCATGACTGCACTATTGAACTTAGCATAACATTCTCAAGGCTCATCCATGCTGTAGCATGTGAAAGAGTTTTCTTCCTTTTTAAGGCTGAACAAAATTCCATTGTTTGTATATACTGCATTTTATTTATCCATTTATCTGTTGCTGAACATTTGGGTTGTTTTCACCTCTTGGCTATTATAAATAATCCCTCTATGAGCATGGAGGTGCAAATATTTCTTCAAGACCTGTCTTTCAATTCTTTTGGGTATATACTCAGAAGTGGGATTAGTGGATCATATGGTTTAAATTTTTCAAAGAAGCTCCATAGAGTTCTTCACAGCAGCTGTGCCAATTTATATCCCCACCAATGGTGCACAAGAGTCCCAATTTCTCCACATTTTTGCAAGCATTTGTTATAATAATAGTAATAATAATTATTATTAATAGTAGTCATCCTCATGGGTATAAGGTGCTCTTGCTATTACTGTTTCCCCTTCCCAGTGCATGGGAATAAACCTCAATTGCACAAGGTGTTATGGGAAACAGTTGTGGTTAAGCCTTCAGCTATATACTTACATTATCTGCATCCTAGTAAACTTGACAGAGTTAGCCACGTGGTTCACATCCCTCCACATTTCCCCAATGTCAAAGACACACCAGTGGAATAGCAACCCAGGCACTAGCATTGCCTTCTTAATCTGGGTTCTCATTTATGCTCATGACTGGGATGAGCAAGATTTGATTAGAGTACACAATGGGGATTTCACATTCAATTTTACATACATTTAACAGGGTCCTCTAAAGCAATGTGCAAGTATTTACAATATTTGCTACATTCCTACTGTGCAAAATGCAATATCTGAAATACATAAAGTGTTTAGTGAATGTTTATTTATCAGCGTAGGTAGAAGAGAGGGAGAAATGATAGGGAAAGAATTAAGGAGAATGAGAGGCAGGGAGGAATATTGGAAGAATAAAATAAGGGAAAAGAGGAAGGAAGAAATGGAGGGAGAAAAAGTGGGAGGAAGGAAAGAAGGAAGGAAAGAAAGTCTATTGTGGGGTGCCTGGGTGGCTCAGTCAGTTAAGTGTCCGACTTTGGCTCAGGTCATGATCTCGTGGTTCATAAGTTCGAGCCCTGTGTCGGGCTCTGCACTGACACCTCAGAGCCTGCTTCAGATTCTGTCTTCCTCGCTCTTTCTGCCCCTCCCCTGCTCATGCATTTTCTCTCTCTCAAAAATAAATAAACGTTAAAAAAGAAAAATAAGTCTATTGGTCATAATTTTCAGATATGGAGTCTGGTTAAAATTTTTTAAAAGATGTTACACAGGTGACTTTGAAGCATAGTCAGTTAAGAATAATTGATACGTTCTAAGAACATAAGTCCTGGAAAGGGCAGGTCCATGAGAAGTACTAACAATTAAGTAATGGGGAGAGAAAGAGACTCCAGTAAAGAGAAGGAAAAGTAGTAGATAAGGGGATAAGAGTAAACCATGAGACTGTGATGTAATGGAGCCCATGGAAGAGAAAACTTCTGGAAAGTCATATTCAGCATTATCTAAGGTGGTGAGAAGTCAAACAAGTTTAGACTGAGGCATGCTCAGTCACAATGGCAAAATGGAAGACATTTCTGAAGTTTTCCAGAGCTATCATTGCGGAAGTATGGGTGTTTAAGTTGTAGATTTGGAGTAAATGGGAATTAAGTAATTTTAGCAAGTGTAGACTTCTTATTGAAGAAGCTAGTAGAGAGTGAGAGGTTGAAAAATATAGGAAATAAAGTAATTAATGGATGGAAATCCTGGAAGAAAAAGATGGTGGTGTGACCAAGAAGACACACAGATCTATCAGTGTGAAAGGAAAGAAGATACAACGGTGCAGAACCGGGTGTTGCAGGTGCCCGTGTTTATACTTAAATAGGTGGAAGGTGGAAGACAGTTGAAGCGATTTTTATTTAATCGTTTTAATGGTATTAATGATATAATGTTCATGGTTATTGGGTGAGAACATGGGAGGTAGAAATTTGGTTGGGGAACTTGAGAGAAGTCACAAACATTTAGAATATCGGTTACTAGAATGCTAGAATGGAATGGAAAATGACCGAAAACAATTCAAAAGAGAGGATCAGTGAGGCCCAGCTGAGTTTGTGGGCCCTGAATCAGAATCAGGGTTTTTCTCCAGCAGCGGCCAGAAACTCAGACACAGGAAAAGAGAAATGTGGATATGCGACTAACACTGGGGTTTGACTTTGCAAAGGAGGTGTCTTGTAGCCTGGTGGAGCAGAAAAGCAGTTGCAGGTATCAGCGAGTATAGTGCAGGCAAACAACTGCAGGCTCCTGTATTAGGAAGGAAGGGCTGGCAAATGGGGAAAATGGAGGGTGGTCAGGGGACTGCAGGGGTCTAAGGTGGTGAAAGAGTGGTGTGCTAGGACATCAATGAATGTTGACAAGGTCTAAGGCATGACTGTGAATATGGGTGACTCAAGTGATAGTCAACTACTGAGAAGCCCCACAGTTAATATGGAGGGATGGAGAGAGCTTTGAATAAATTGTACAAATAGCAGAACTTAGAACATGGAGAAGCTTGGACACCAAGGTCATTGATTAATGTGGTCAGTAAGTAACGTGTAATGAAACTGTAAAAGTTGAGAAGGGATAACATGGTGTTATAACTCTCCTAGGCAGGAAAGTTTTACATAATAGTAAAGGAAGAGTAGCTATGATGTAGCTGTGGTGAATTAGAGGTCAGCCTCACTTATAGGCTCCTGTCACATAGGGCAGAGGAGGTCAAACTTTCTATGAGTTCTGGTGACAGAAAGTCTTAGTTCAGAACTTCACTCAGCTACCGTTTCTTGTGCACGTCACATCGCCTCTCTAATATTCTATGTCTAATTTGCGAAATTGATAACGATTACAGCATTTACCTCATACAGTTTTTGTGAGGATTAAATTAACCAGTTCGGGTACAGAACTTAACACAATGTCTGGTATGTATGTACTTAATGGATGTAAGATAATGCTATCTAAACACAATGTGATCTAAATTTAAGATTTCTGAAGACAAGGAGTTTTGTATCTGTTCTTTTCTACCTCACAAGCCTCTCCCCCACCTCAGCCCCAGCCCAATTACCCCACAGTCTGCCTCATTACAGTCAAATAGCAACTCCATTGTTCTAATTGCTCAAGCCCCAAACAACCATCTTTGACTCTTTCTTTCAAACTATACCTTCAATCTTTCAGCTTTGTCTTCCAAGTACATCCTTAACCCAATTTCTGCCACCAGTTCAGATGTAGAAAGTTTCAGGAAACTGTCACTCTTATTAAAAACCAAAACAAGCTGAGTAAAGTACACAGTCATAGCTTTAAAAAAATGTATCGTTGGGCTGAAGACACAAAGTAATCCAACGAACTAAATTGCAGAAAATGAAAAGCCCTTTACAGAAGGAAGATGCTTATTGCCGTGCGTGTCTTTGGCGAAACTGCAGGAGAAGAAGGAATTCACCATAGACAGTGTAGGGAGAAACAAGGTAAAGATACCAGTTTTTAACAGCTCCTGGGAAAGGATACTGTCTGAGAGGCAGGGAGGGCCAGAGACTTAATCCATATCTAGGGAGTGTGGATGTATTGGGTATTTATCATTTTTCTCTCCGGATTCATTTTCGACTCTTCTCCACCCAGGTCTCCTTCTAGACCCAGGAATGATGGCCTCTATTGCTTACAATGAAGTACTTCCTTACCATTTGTTTTTTATTGGGTTTGGCCAAAGGGAGACACAGGCAGGATATTGGAAGGTGGGGGAGAAATCGAAGTCAGAGTATTTGTTCCTCTGGCTCCTTCCTTGAGGAGTCACTATTGTTGGCTTCGAGTGGCCTACTGAAGGCCACAGCTCCTGTAAAATTATCTGAATATATGGCTACCCTCTCTGGGTTCCAGTTACCACCCCTTTACATCTTCAGGCCTAGGCATGGTAACCTCTTCCCTCTTGTCAGTAATGGAATACTGCACTAAATCTGGTACATTTCACTAAATCTTGCCCACACTTTTACTAATGGTCACTCTATTAAACTATTCTCAAATTATCCAGTGTGTGATATCTGTTTCCCTCAACGATCCTGAGACAATAAGACATCTAAGGTCAAGAGTAGTCTTGAGCAGTGTATCCATTATGACAAAGTGGAACATAGCCCTAGGCTGAAGGAAACTACAGTTCAGGGAAACTGCCACCTAGGGGCCCTTCGAGGTCCTAATTGGGTAAACTAAGTCTTTTGGTTCTTTGCTCTTCATGTTTGTAGATCACACATTTCCATAACTTGAACGTACTGTGCTAGACGCAGGCCACCCATCTCTGTACATCATTTGAGTATTTTGAAATTTAGTTCCTACAAGCAATGGCTGTTCCCCCCCACCCCAGCTTTATTAAGATATAATTGACATAGAACATTGTGTAAGGTCAAGGTGTACAATGTGATGATTTGATACATGTATATATTGTAAAATGATTACCATAATAAAGGTTAGTTAACACACCCATCACCTCACATAGTTACTTTTTCTTTTCTTTTTTTTTACATAGTTACTTTTTCTTTTTTGTGGTGAGACGTTGTAAGATCTACTCTTTTAGCACCTTTGAACTATACAATACGATATTGTTAACTATAGTCACCATGTCATACATTATAACTCCAATGTTTATTTGTTTTATAACTGGAAATGTATACCTGTTGACCATCTCCACTCATTTCTCCAACCCTCCCACCCCTGCTCCTGGTAACCACCAATCTACTCTGCTTTTATAAGTTTGTTTTTTTTTTTAAGATTCCACGTATAAGATCATACAGTGTTTGTCTCTCCCTGTCTGACTTATTTCACTTAGCATAAGACCCTCAAGTTTCACCTATGTTGTCACAAATGGCAGAATTTCCTTCTGCATTATGGCTGAATATTCCATTCTTATGTACACACATTTTCTTTATCTTTTCATCTGTTGATGGACACTGAGGTTGTTTCCGTGTCTTAGGTGTTGTAAACAATGCTGCAATAAACATGGAAATGCAGATATCTGTTCAAGATAGTAATTTCATTTCCTTTAAATAAATACCTAGAAGTGGGATTGCTGTATGACATGGTAATTCTGTTTTTAATTTGTTTTTTAAAGTTTATATATTTATTTATTTTGATGGGGGAGAGGGGTAGAATGAGGGAGGGAATCCCAAGCAGGCTCTGCACTGACAGTGGAGAGCCCCCAGTGGGGAGCTTGATCTCACGAACCATGACACCATTACCTGAGCCAAAATTGAGAGTTGGACGCTTAACCTTCGAAGCCACCTAGGCGCCCCTCTGTTTTTAGTTTCTTGAGGAACCCCCATACTGTTTTCCATAGTGGCTACAATAATTTATATTCCTTTGAACAGTGTACATGTGTTCCCTTTCATCCACATTATTTAAAAAGTTCTCAAAAGTTTATTTTGAGAAAGAGAGGTGGGGATGGGAGAAGAGGGAGGAAGAGAAGATCCCAAGCAGCCTCTCCGTTGTCAGCGCAGAGCCTAATGTGGAGGCTCTATCTCACGAACTGAGATCATGACCTGAGCCAAGATCAAAAGTCAGATGCTTGGGGTGCCTGGGTGGCTCAGTCGGTTGAGCGTCCGACTTCGGCTCAGGTCACGATCTCGCGGTCCGTGAGTTCGAGCCCCGCGTCGGGCTCTGGGCTGATGGCTCAGAGCCTGGAGCCTGCTTCCGATTCTGTGTCTCCCTCTCTCTCTCTGCCCCTCCCCCATTCACGCTCTGTCTCTCTCTGTCTCAAAAATAAGTAAATGTTAAAAAAAAATTAAAAAAAAAAAGTCAGATGCTTAATTGACTTAACCACCCAGGCGCCCCTTCCTCTACATTTTTGCCAGCACTTTTCTCTTGTCTTTTTGATAATAGCTATCCCAACACGTGTGAGGTGATACCTCATTGTGGATTTGATTTGCATTACCCTAATGATCAGTGATGTTGAACACATTTTCATGTACCTGTTGGCCATTTGTACATCTTTTTTGGAAAAATATCTATTTAGGTCCTTTGCCCAATTTTAAAATCAATTATTTGTTTCTTAGCTGTTCAGTTGTATGAGCTTCACGAACACTGCTTGCTATAAGCCCTGCCCCCTTTTTTGGTCTATCTGATCTTTAGTGGTTGAGCCCCAGATTCCCTTAGTGATCTCTATCAGGCAAGATTTCAGTGGGCCTCTCTTAAAGTGTTCTGCATGCCTGGGGAGCTGGGTGTGCACCTTGAGCTATCTTTTCACACTGGAGCGACCATAGGCCCAGGGGGGCCCTCTCAGTGGCCCTCTCCTATCCTTCCAATGTGGTCTTTCTCAGTCTCTGTGGTCCAGAGAGGTACTTTAGCCCCCCTTAGGGTTTGGGATTTTCACAATGGAGTCTTTTCCATGGGTAGCTGCTAGTTGGTCTTCTTGTAGGAGAGACTTAAATCATCAACAACCTATGTCATCATCTTTATGATGTCACCTTGACAGTGGCTCTTTCTAAAGCACTGCGTAGCTCAGTCCTAAGGATGTTTACATAGAAGAGAGACCAGCAAAATATAACAGCGCATCATTCTGCAGATTCTTTTGGCATGAAATTGTTTCAATTATGAATGGATGAATGGCCCCCATGAGTCAGGGCATTTCATGCTTGGGTGATGGGGGAAAAAAGCCATTAATTTTCAAAACTTTTTCCTTTTTGAGAGTTAGCTAGTTAGATAGCAAAGAAGTTTGGGATAATACTGTCAGTTGGTAGTATTATGGCAAATTGAGAAACCTCAGGGTGACCTTTGATGGTTGGCTGGGGACAAGTAGGTCCATCTAAGACTTAGCCTGTATCACTGTTACTTGAGTGACTTTCACCTGCATCATTCACCCTGGAAATATATATGCCACAGGGACTTGACCTCAGGCTGCTCAAAATGCATACTTTCTCTGGTTTCCATGGAGATGGTTGCCAGCTCAGGTCATGTACAAGGCTGTGTCTGGGGAGTACATTAGAATTGTGTCTGTGGCTAGTTCCACTCCCTTTCCAGGACAGAGCGTGCATTACTCTTATTTGATGCTAGAATACTTGGGGGCATGGAAAAGGCCAAAGGGCACGCCTTGGATTTTGAAATGGCCAAGCCTCCTCTGAATTGAAAGAAAACACTAGTCAGAATACAGACATAATGTAGTTTTTTTATAAAAGCTAAGCAGGAGAGGAGCCACAGACTGTGAGGAGTAGTGTGAGCAATAAAATACGCAAAAGCTTAGTGATCAAGGGGTTGGATTGCCTCAGAGACACTTGCTGCCCACTGGAGAAAGGGACATTCAGGGCACTGCATGGGTTGCATCTTCAAGATGAGACGAGGAGTGGGGCGCCTGGGTGGCGCAGTCGGTTAAGCGTCCGACTTCAGCTCAGGTCACGATCTCGCGGTCCGTGAGTTTGAGCCCCGCGTCGGGCTCTGGGCTGATGGCTCAGAGCCTGGAGCCTGCTTCCGATTCTGTGTCTCCCTCTCTCTCTGCCCCTCCCCCGTTCGTGCTCTGTCTCTCTCTGTCCCAAAAATAAATAAACATTAAAAAAAATTTTAAAAGATGAGACGAGGAGCTTTCGAGGGGTGTAAGATATACCTGGAGGTGGCAATCAAGAAATTGGGGATGGGAGGGAAGGAGGGAGCTCCACCTACTAGGGACAAAGACCCAACTCAGAAGGGAGTTTTAAATGATAGAAAATGGAGATGGTAAAAACTCTGTGTTCTATAACTCCCTGATACTCTTCCAGGTCTATTATGTTTGATATATTCTATTTTCCAGCATAAACTTTAGTAAAACCCTTAAACAGAGAAGATCCTCTTTTTGCCGTATTCTTTAGCAATGCTTGAAGTGAGAAATAGAAGACATGGGGACAGAGAGAGGAGGAAGGAGAGCAGACTAAAAACCCCAGGTCTTAAACCAAAGAAGGAAATGTAGCCAGAAGCAGTTGATCAACAAAAATACCATATCAGACCATCCTGATAGCTGATTAGTAGAAGAACCATGAGACCAAGCTACTGCAGACGATACAGAAGAGTCAATTAGAAACTAATTTTTATGAACACAAACCAAAAACCTGTCCTGTTTATAAATGGCGTATAATGCTTTGCTGGCTGAAAAGCAACTTCTGTTGTGAAAGCAGATCTGTGTGAAAGTAGACATTAATGTGAAGCTGAATAGCTTCATATTTGCTACTTCATTGAATTCCAACAATTCCAGGAAATGAGTACTGTATTTATATCATCACATTAGACATGAAGAAAATCATCAAATAGGTTAAGAGCCTTAGATAGGTTAAG